TGCCAGGGCTGAGACTATGGTACCACTCATCAGTTGTTATGCTTACACAGCATACACAAGATTTTTGAACTCCAGGCCAGATCCCTCTGTGCATGTTACTTTTAATTCTTATTCTACTTAATGATACAGCCATTAAGAACACTCCAAATAAACTATTCTGATGACTATGAAGTATTCTACTTTACCAATATGTATTAGAAACTCACTGTTCAGAATATAAGTTGCTGTTAAATTTTCAATCCTAAATGATATGACTCTGATATGGTGAAGATACTTTTGATTATTTCCCTAGGATAATGGCAGCATAGTGGCCATAGGCCATGACCATGAGGAGCAGCAGAGTTCTGGCTCAGTGGGCTAGAACTAAAGGCCTAGCATCATTGTGCCTGGGTGACATGAGTCACTTCCTCCCGGTCCTGGCTCTTTCCCACATCCAATGATGAAGAGCGTGTTGTGGATGCGCTCTGCATCTCTTGACTGAGGTTGAATGAAGCTCTTTGAGTCTCACTGTTGTGTTTACTTTTAGGAACTAAGAGTTCATGCTGCTTCTTCTATGACACTGGTGCTTTTGTCTTGATTGATGTACCCTAGTACATCTCATGATAGCATCCTTGCCAAGCCATCAAAGAGAAGCACAACAGCAGAGTTTTTTAGGTCCCATGTCTTTGTAGCAATGAAATCATTTGAAGCTGCAGGTGGAGATGGGATGGATGGTCCCAGAAACAGAGATCAGCTCAGAGATGATAAATAACCAGACGCTGGTGACACAGTTTATCCTACAGGGCTTTTCGGTGCACCCAGAGTACCAGGTACTCCTATTTGGCTGTTTCCTCTCCCTCTACACTGTGACCCTGACTGGCAATGCTCTCATCATCCTGGCCATCACCCTCCACCGTGGGCTCCACACACCCATGTACTTCTTCTTGTTCAACCTGGCTACTATGGACATCATCTGCACCTCTTCTATCATGCCCAAGACCCTGCAGGGTCTGTTGTCAAAGCAGAGCACCATCTCCTATGGGGGCTGCCTGGCCCAGCTCTACTTCCTAACATGGGCTGCATCCTCAGAGTTGCTTCTGCTCACAGTCATGGCCTATGACCGGTATGCTGCTATCTGCCACCCCCTGCATTACAACACCATGATGAGCAAGGCATTCTGCAGCCTGCTGGCCACTGGTGTGTGGACACTCTGTGCCTTCAACACGGCCATACACACAGGGCTGATGCTACGCTTGGATTTCTGTGGCCCCAATGTCATCAACCACTTCTTTTGTGAGGTCCCCCCTCTGCTGCT